TAAAAAGTCGGGAAATACCAGGAAAGCGGTAGTAAGGATGGGGAAGTATCAGAAGAGAGGTCGTATTTTTCGAAGATTGTCCCCAGCGGTAGGACGTGCCGTAATGGCACAGTTCGTCATTTCAATTCGGTCCATGAAGAACTCAACACACTGGTCTCGTGTGGGCTGAGTTCAGCTCTCAAAGAAAGCCATCCAACCCAAAATATCATCTGTGAGGGGTGTTCAAAATATTCTCTGTATAGGTTTGAAGGAAAAGCTAGAAAATTCTAAATGAAATTCTGTTTTTTAATGTAGTCCCCCATAAGCTCCATACACATGTTTGCTCGGGAAATTACATCTTCTGTCTTTTAAAGGATATTTTTCACCCTTGTCCCTGTTGATTGCCGCCTTCAGCCCTCCATCTTCAGAAAAACGCTTTCCACAAAGACCTAATGTCGGGTTGGAAAGCAAGTAGTAATTTCTGATCATTTTCTGGATTTTCTTTTCATTTTCTCAAGTTTATTTTCATTTTTCTCAATTTTTTCAATCAGTAATCATTTTCACAATATTGTCGCATCTCATTCTGGTCTTCTTTTACCAAGGATGACTAAAATAGCATTTATGATAACTAAATGAAATTTTGTAGTTGCACCTTAGGGGGTGTTGTTGCCCACTGAAATGATCTGAATTTGAATCTCTGGAAAATTACCCTGATATTGAGATAGTTCCAACGGTCCTTGTGTCGAAGGTCAATTAACAAGCATGCGAAGAGTTCAACCGAAGAAAACTCAAACGTTTCGGGAATCGGCGGACGGCGATTACTTACTGTATGCGAAGCTTTCGGTTTCGGTTTGAAAGAGCAAGCTGACCCATTTCACAAGCATTGAACCACAAGTTGCATAGTTTCACAGTTCGACTAGTTCATTCCATAGCGCACTTTCAGTGTACATGAAGACCTCAAGACTGAAAGCGTTTGCCAGACCAGGTAAAGTATCGTGTAAACTAAGGAGAAATAAAGGGACAGCCAGATCACCTTCTGAATATGCTGTGCCCAGCCGATATGTGATTGTCGTTGGTAAAAAAGTAATCGCTGTATTTCAGAAAAGCCCCTGTCTAGCCAAAAAATTTCTTCACTTCTCTGCTAGCTAGAGTAGGCTAGGAATGCAGTAGCTCCCGGAACTGAAATAAGTCCTGACTAGCTAAAAACCCTAAGAACGATGATCCTGAAGTCCAATCACGATCACGTCCGTAAATGGCTTCTATAAGAGACAGTGGAATTTCTATGGAGTCACACTCACAAGTCCAATCTTATCGGATTGGAAAAACGTCTTTTCCAATCCGGTAAGATTCAGGACGGCTTCAGTGGAAACATTTGAGCGGACACAAAAAACGTTGAAATCTCGATGTACCACTGGAAACCGGTTCCACAGTATCACCACTCTTTTCTTTAATGAAACAATGGATAAAGAAAGCGGCGGGGTTCCGACGACTAAAGGGCAACTTCAGACTTGTTTCGATATCCTATTGAGTAATTGTTGATTTTCCCAAATGGGGCCTGAAATACAGATTGCTTCCGAAAGGGCTTTTTTTGGATTTCGCCGCTACGATAAACTTTGACGACTCTGTCTCACTACCTCCTCCCTGGACTGCACTTTTTGATGATGCCCTGTCATATATCTGGCATTGGCACCTATTCACCTGGTTGAGAAGTGGCTAACATCAGTAACCGTAACTAACCTTCTTGATGCAACCGCTGCCATTAGCCCGGATAGCGCTTGGCTGGCCCACTTCTCGAGAAGCTCTTCACTGCTGGTTTCGTTGAGTGGCAAACGCAGGGTTTTGCCATCTTTGTAGGCAGTATTCACTGGCAGCTCAGCTGGCTGTTTGTGTACGGCACAGTTGGCTAAAAGAAGCCTATTGAACATGGAAATTGCACTGAAGCATGAAAGTTCAAAGAATTATTGATTAACTAGACCAAATTGTTGACTCATTAATTGATGCAGGCTGAACAATTTGTGCTGATGATTGAAGACAAGGTCTGAAGCGTGGTACTTATTCGAATTACTGACGCAGTTGCCGTCGGGGGGGGGGGGGAGGCGTTTCGCACTTTCGCTGCTTCACTAGTTGCTTACTAGCCCATCTGTGAAACCTTTGAGCTCTTGTGAATCTGGAGCAAGCTCGTCGAGCCATCGTGGTAAGGCCTGTCAACACTCACAAGCTTACGAGAACGGTCTCTATACAGCTTGACACTCCGATGGGAAACAGCAAAAGTGCAACCCCCCGCAGATCTCGCATCGAGTCTCAGCCGCCTAGTGACCATTGAGCGTGTCGCGTTTTTTCCTCGTAATGGTCCCAGCTCTCATGTTCAGTGACAGAAAGCCCCACCCATGAAGTCGGACAAAATTCTTTTGAGGTAGTCAATCTTGCGGTTCAGAGGTGGTCGATCTATGCATGCGGTGCCCATCTAGGCTTTTCCACCTAGGCGTAGTCTAGCCCATTTAGATGAGGAACGATGCTGCGAGTGCGCCCAGTTGTCGGCTAATCCTTGCATTTTCATCCTGAAGCAGTCCTACGCGCCCAAATTGGCTCAGAAGCGAGGGTGAGGTTGACTTCAATAGCTCGTACTGCCTTTAGCTTATCAGTTGAACCGTTCCTCTCCATCAAGTAGTAGTAGTTCATGGCTCTGATAATTCAATATTTCAGCAGACTTCTTTAAGCGACCTCCAAACTTCATGGGTAATTGATATTCGGAGTGAAGGATGTTAAATCTTTGAAGTCTCAGCTGATTGACCTGCAACTCGTAAACTGCTTCTAGGACTCCTTGTTAACGACCCTACAGTACATTTCAACATGTCACATGTATTCGGCGATAATCGGAGTGGGATCAGGGGATTTTCTTCCAACAGCAATCACGGACAACCTACCACATATTTCACACGTACTGAAGAGTTGTTGGACGGAGGTTTCTGAATGCTCTTCCAGATGGATGAGCTTATGAGTGTAAGACCATGGTTCATTTACTTGGAAAACCTATTTTATTTTCCATATTTATATTTATTTATTTTACTCCTGTATTTTCTAACGGTGTTTTTTTTGAGTGAGCCGAAAAATATATAAAATAAAATATTAAATATATAAAGTATAAAGCGTATGCCGCATACACCCATTGCAGCAAATGGTTTTTTGGATCTAGAATTATGGAAATAAAGTTTTTTACATATAGAATAGCTCCCTTGTTAAGCCCCAACCTTATCGGGTAAATCTGGTCTACACCTTTCTCTTAGGAATTCTGCGATGCCAAAAATGAGCACCCCGTGGCTACTGTCATGTGAAACTGTACATGCCACGGTGGGTGCAGTTTTCCCGACGAAGTTTCCATC